AGGTCCATAAGATACCGGCTAAAATGTCGGTTTTGATCACTGGCCGGACTGACCACAGTATCTTTTGTGTTGAGTAAAAGTAAACTGCTTTACGCTGCTATTTCAACCTTGTTTATTGGGCCTTAAATTTAAAAGAATTTCAACCTCTTCCTGACTTTAGAATTTAACATATATTTAATAAAATTTAGTTTTTATATGTATAACTTCTGAAAGCGGTGTTAGCTTTTAGTCTGCGTTAGTCCTTTTTATTTAGTCTTATAATAGTATAATTGTGTTTTTCAGTTGTTTTTTCAGTTGATTGTTTTTTTAGATGTGAGTTGTTGCCACTTACTTCTCTTGTCTTCGTTTTCTTTTTCGGCTGCAACATGACAGGACACTATCCGAGAGAATGAAATTTTTAGTTGGAGATGCTTTATAACAGGATTGAATATGAAATAGAACCAAGCAGACAGAACCCACTTAAGGGAAAACGATTGGGAATAGACCGTTTTTATGTGGTTATTCATTTATCAGTATTAGTAAATTTACTACAAGTTTTGTTTTTTAAATAATGACAGAGGTAATGAAAGAAACATTACGAAAATAATCGCGAGTATTTTCCTCTTTCAATCGTCAACTCAGTGGGTTCTGGGAAGAGAACATTGCGCAGGTAAATTTGTGTTTCATAACATTTGGGACAGGTAGTGCAAATGTTACAAGAATATTTTTTGAAATGAAATTGAGAATAGGTCAGGGTTCTTGTACAGAATCAAATGCTTTTTTCTTTGTCTGAGAAATAATTCTTTCCGTTAATAATTTTATGACTTATTTATGTGACTGATTTATTCGTTCATTTAGTTAATAGTTTATCTTTAGAAGCTTGTCTCAGTCTTTGCCGTAACATGTATGAGAATATTAATAAACGTCTTTAACATCAGTAATCATGAGCTTTAATTTAAAAACTTTCACCGCAGATATTGTGGCAACTTTTCGTGTATGATAGATATCTTCTTTTCAATGGTCGAGTATTTTCGCAGGTAAGTTTGAGGTCTAAAGTGTATTGAACACTTTAGTAATGTTAAAGGTCAAGAAATACTTTGGTACTGTGCAGTCCCAAGAATGGTGTCCGGCTTATTTTGAGTTTTAGGTGTGTTGTTATGAAGTTGAAGAACCATGGGGCAAGTTGGTTGTGTTGAACAATAACCTAAAATCTGTTTTTGATCGACTGTGCATAGCGGTTTCTGTCCATGAATGTGTAGCCCACATTACTGACAACTGACAGAGGCATCATCCAGATGAGGAGCTGGGTGACATGCATTTGTGCAATGAAACATTAGTCAAAACTTCATATCATTGCAAGTTTTTAATTTTTTTCGGTGAAAAAAACAAACCGCTGCTTTTGAAAGTAGTTTTGATCTGGGAAACAAAAAAGTTTCACAGAATACCTGCCTGAGTAACCTTGTTAAATGTACCAGTTCTGAGGTGATATATTTACTTAGCATAAAATTATATGTCTGTAGAGCTTATACACTGACTGTTTGCTTCATCTGGTATAACGATGTAAATGAAAATGAACATTTGTTCGAAACTTTTCTCTTCTCGTTGAAACTACAGCGCTTGCGACAAAAAATTTGCCTTTTTTTCCGCAACAGCGAAAGTTGGCCAAAACATCTCTTACCATCCATTTAGATGGTCGGATGTGCTATTCAAACGTTGTTTGTCATAAATGATTAGCATAAGAACGGAGCCAACAAAAGGCTTAATTTTACGCGTTAAACTGTAGTGCTTGGCATTTACCGCAAATCGATATTCTTACTTTCTGATGCATCAAGATCGTGTTGCAGCACTTTTGGCGCCGCCGAACTTTGCTTGCTGAACCACTGGCGGCGAAGGCCAACATTGGATCAGTGATCTTGGAAAATCCATTTTATATCCTTTTTATTTTTTATAAATAATTATAACTTGGTGCATCATTTCTTCCAAGCAATCTTTAACTCAGGCATTTTCTACATGGGTCCAGGAAACCGCCTCTTCAAAAGTAAGCGATCATGAGAGTCTTAATCGTTGTTGCAGCGCATTCATGCGCTTTCTTTGCAGGAGATCCAGCCTTCGAAAGGTGATCGATCTGTTCATTATGGGTGGCTGTTTGATGTTCGAAGGTGTAGCATTGCTCAACTGGCTCGCAAGAGCTGGCTTTGGACCTTTAGCGTTGACTGGCATTTCAATGGGAGGCCATGTAAGTTGCACTTCTGTTGCTGGTGTTTTTATTGAACAGGATTGGCTAAATCATGGCCTATAAAATGCGGCATGTGAATTTTTGAGCAGTCGTTTGGGTGCAGATCTTCTGCACTTGTCAGTGGTTTGTTCTGCAGTCGCCGCTTTGAATATGTAGAATTGAACTGTGGTCAGCTGCATTGCCTACTTGATTTGACCCATCATGTTATATATCAGTGGGAAGTGATCAGTGATTGAAATACAGTACTATTGTCAAACTAATGATTTACGTAACCACAGTGGAATCGGCAGACATAGATGCCAAACTTGAAATTGACGCTTGACACTATGATGAAAGTTTCATACTGTTCTCACAGAGTGCTTTCGAGAGATGTACAATGTGATGGATAGAGTCAAGTAATTAATACAAATAATTACCTGCACTTATATTAACTCTGATTTCTGTTTATATGACTACACGTACATTTTATTGGCATCGCGCAGAAACCATGATGGAATCAATATAAAATGAAAATTCTCGATATTCATCAGTTTGACAATGGCATCGCGTTTTACTCACACAACGTTTTCTTTTGATAGACAGTATGAAAACAATGGAATTTTAATTAAATATTCACAAACATGACAGTGCTGCCATACTGCGCTTACATAGAGCTTCTTATTGATGTATAACATGATGGGCTAAATTAAGCAGTTGATTTACCTGACTGTTATACAGTTATAAGATTCAAAGCAGCGACCGCGGAAGACGGGGGGCTGAATTAACTAACGGTCTTTGCTTAAACAGCGTTGCCGAAACGACTGCCTCCAAACGTCTCATTTCGTATAAGGTAGTTTTGGTTTAAATTGCAGTTGATATCAGGTAACAGAGAAATTGCGATTCAGTGTATGATGAAAACAGTTCATTAAGGAAGTCAAGTTAACATAAAACTATCGGTGGAATGGCTTCTGATTCCGTAATCAAAAGAGTTCAGAATTCTTGTGGATAGTATTTTTTCCATGGTTATCAGCAAGTTTGTTATAATGACTATCTTGAACCGCTGTTTGAACAGAACACCTCTGATTTATTGATGATCCTCAGTAATAGCTCAGAATGCACTTTCTGGTCACTTAATCTGGCGTTATATACATTCCTGCAAAAGGATGGTATTCACTGTCCAGTAGTTAAGTTATTGGGGCTGTTTGAGCCAGCTGGTGCCAATCAGCCAGTTTTGAGGCAGCTTTCTCGGAGGAAAACTGAGTCTAATGCGCAGGTAGGTCTCAAGGTTGGTGCCATATCTGAATTCGACATTCTAAGACAAATATTTCTGGCCTTATACAAAAAGAGTTCATCTGTTAGAACAAGTTAAAGCTTTTGCAAAGTAACTTTGCGATGAAATGTTTCAACCAGTTGCTGCTTTTAAAGGATACGAGAACATTTCTTCTAGTTGAAATTTGTGCCATCTCGACATTGGCAGAAGTATATTGGAAAGTTTGCTAAAATACTAAGCAGAATTCCGCAGATGCACGTAACGTTCTTATAGTATCCTGTTGCTATTTACATGTTTAGGTGCAAGCTTTCGCAAGGTGTCTAAATGCAGATTCGTACATAGGCAGTAGATTAATACTCGTTCAAATTGACCACATTGGGTTTAATGCTGCAGTGGCATTATCTTGTTCTTGCATGAGAATACTGTAAAATAATTTGCATCGTTTACTTTCTGTTGCCTAACGTTTCTTTTATTCTTTCAGTCTGATTCCAAACAATGCTTTAAGGCGGATATGTATTTGTTTATTTTATAATATACTATTCAGTTCTTCCCTTGTTACTTTTTCCGTTGCTAAATATCGTCTTATTTCAGATGGCTTCGCTTGTTGCTGCGACTTATCCGAAAGCGGTCGCTTTGATTCCGTGTCTTTCTTGGAGCACTGCCTCGTCTGTATTTACACAGGTATTTAGCCCTTTGTTTCTGCATCCCTCCGAATGACAAACACATCATTGTTTATTTTATTTTACTTTATATCCGTGGAAATTTTTATCGATTTAGTGCCAATGAATTAAGCTTATAGAACATAGCCTCCAATCTTAAGATTTTATGTAGTATTTCAGTGCCGTCTTGCTCCTAGTTGCTTAGGAAGGCCATTTACGTAGTCCAAGGTTGCATGATATTTTAACTGTTGCGATCTTAAATGCATCTCGCGTCATTTTACTCGCTAGAGCAGTGCCTTTCTTATCAGCAGCGCCGTTTCAGAAGCCGAGGCTCCTTTTAAGTCTTCACAAAACGGCCCTATACGTTTAACATTTATGAATTAGTATTTTTAGTAAAGGGATGTTTTTTCATTCAATGTCTGTGGGAAATAATGGATTGGGAGTCGAGCGACGTTATTCAGAAGTCTAGGTTTCAAGTAGAATCATGATTGTCGATCTACATGAACCTCAAAATAACAGGTTAGCAACATGGTGCATAAATTCTCTGTATCTTTATCGTATTCTTAACCTTCCGCTAAAGTGAATATGTTATTTCCCGATTTTCTCGAATATAATATCATTAAAACCATTTTTGACTTTCATTCATGACACTCACCTTCTGTTCCGACGGAAAGAACTTTCTTTTGAGTAAACTGAATGCATGACTCACGGATTTATCCATGTTCTTCTTGAGAATTTTAATATGAATGGTGGCCATCATTCCTTCCGCCACAATGTTCTTATCGAACATGTTACTTTAGGGATATTGTTTTTCCTTACACATCCCTGTTCGCTACTTCTGTTTGCAGAGATAATGTCAACCGAGAGTTCCTTAAAACTTTTGCAGTCCAAGGTTTACAATTTCTTTTCCAATGCATCGTGTGTTCTGTTTCTTTCTACAAATTACTGCTCTATTGTCTACCTCTTACAGACAAACGGCGAATGATCTGATCAGATCTTGGATCCACTGTCTTTCGACGTTGAATTCGGTGAATTTTTCAGCTATTTTGTTTAGGTATAGACGTGACCGTTATTCCGTTCTCTGGTTATCAATGCCTTTTTAGCGTATCTTTTCAGGTCTTGTCATTTGGTCTTGCATCCTATTTGGTGTTTTAGCTGTTTTGTTCGTTCTTTATGAAGGATGTCTTCCGTTGAACTAACCTCAGTGCTTGCATTGCAGGGCTGGTTTGCGATTAAAGAAAGGGAATAGTCAGGGAATAGATATGCAGCGGATGAGATAGTAGATTTTTTGGCCCTGAAAACTTGTCATGAACCTTGTTGCGACCGGAAATGTATCGGTAAACAGGGGTAAGCGACTTTATCAGGCGATGACATGGAATCTGTCTGAGAAAAGATGCCTCTAACTACAAAACCCGACGAAAAGATTTGGGGCGTCATCTGTATTAGCCCATTGTAAAACTTTGGCGAAGTAATTTGTTCATCCTGTCCCTCTAACCTACACATAAACTGGATTCATAACTAATGGTAATGTTGGAAATACGCTGGGCAAATGAAGTTGCATAATGAATAGAGCTTGGCATAATTCATCCCGTAGAATCATATGAAAGCGTGAAAATTGCCGTAGAATTTAACATTACATTGTGCCGTCAGCCCTCTGTCGAGGATGACAGTTCATTACATGCTTATAGAGTGGAGGATGACTACTAGTCGGGTCACATGATATTTATCACTAGAGAGTTAAGTAGATCTTCCATAATGATGTGCAATCGCATGGTAAAAAATATACGGCAAAAGATCATTAGCTTATCCTGAAGCTGTTCAGTGCTTAACATCGAATAAGGTACAGTCGGTGTTGCGATCAGATTAGATGGCGCTAAAATTCTGAGCATTTTTTATGCAGTTAAATATTAAAGTGATGCTTTCGTGTGACTGGCAACTAGCCAAAAAGTTTTGTGGTTATGAAACTGGTCGTCGGGTGCTTCTTAACGAAATTTTCTCTAGGATCGCTACGCGAAGCGCCGAAGGAGGGACATTTTCATAAAATAGATTTGTATGATGCTGGACAGTCGAATGAAACCTCAAAACAGGGAAAACTCATTTGTCAACAGTGAATTAAAACATTTGAAGTGTTGTCGATCAACTGTTCATTCGAGTCCATTTCTTAAAATTACATCATTCTCGATTTCGATTCGATCTGCAGCAGGTAAATCA